CTGAAGCAAGCGGAAGCTGCTCCAAAGCTGGTGAAAAACGCAAAATATCAAGGCTTCAGGTAGCTATATGTATTTAATTATATAGATTAAACATGTTTAGTTCTGCATATTTGCTTGTTGGTTTTGGTTGATAAATTAATTAAGAAACTATTGAAATGAAATACTGGAATAGATAAATGTTAAATGGACACAGGAAGCAAAAGAAAACTTGAAGAGGATGAAGGCAGAAGTGAAGAGGATGAAGGCAGAAGTAAAGAAGAAAAGTGCAGAGACAAATCTCATGATGCTGCAGCTAATGGAAGAAACAACAAAATTTCAAGCTGCCGCAGAAGGGATTGAGTCTGCACTTGCACAAGGTCGGGCACAGAACGAGCAGATGATGGTGCAGAATTTGCAGGACCAATGTCTTTTAATGCTAGGCTGGAGATATATCTTGGATGAAGATGATAATCCCACATATTGAGTGTTGCCTTAACAGAACAGATAGACAATAATAGCAGGAGACTATATATGTTTACTCAAATGAAAGTTACTGCTTCACAATTTATTGGGCCCTATGTTTGCATGAATTAATTACTTTCTATGTACGTCAGTCCATGTTTGTTGTCTGTACTTTCCATCCATGTTTTGTAAATAAATGTCTTTTGGCGCAATGTTCGCATTCTTAATTCCTTCAACTTTATTTTATTTTATTTTAAAAATTATATTGTTCTGCGATCAAAAGTTTAGAATGTCTATTTGGCATATGTTTAATGAAGGATCAGAAGACCTTGTAAAATTTGCCTACTATTTCCTTTCATGCTTAGCCACTGCCATAATTTCTTTAAAAAACCAAAATTATAAATGAGGTCCTTTACTTAATTTGCAATCACTAGATTAGTTTTGGATGGAGAATTTTGAAGATTCAAATGATGTTAATATCTGATTTTTGAGATTTTATGAAGATTTAGCAATTCAAGGTAGTTCCAAGAATCAATGAGTCGAGAGAAGACAAGTAATTTTGAGCTTCAAAACGTAAAAACCTCCACGCTCGGCTATTAAATTCAAAACTTCAGCTCCAATTTCAATAAGCATAAGGCTGCTAATAACGTTGTGGTCGTGGTTTCTATTCTCACGGGGTGCTAAATGTTGTGACCAAAAAATAGCAATTAGGATTTTGAGAAGGAAATCGGACTGAAGATAGATGGCAAATACTTGTGGAACAGAGCAATGTTAGAGCTTAGCTTGAGATCGGAGTTAATTTCAGGTTTGGCACTTTGACACTCAAAATTTGTAAAGCATTCATGGAAGAAATCTCAGTGTGTGGGTAAGTGAAGAGCTAAACGACGAAGATGAATTTGAGAGAGAAAGGTGTGAAGAGTGTGAAGAGTGTGAATGTTTATGGGAGAGACTGTTTAGGGGACATCCAATGGGTTACTTTTACCTGAATTTTTAGCTAGGCACTTGCTAGGTGTCCTAGTCCTTTGATAAGAATATGAGATCCTATCAGGGGTTTCACACGTAAGCAATTACTTGGAATATTCGTGAGATTCCCATCCTTGGGCTTGATGTCCTTGAATCTTGCCCAGCTAGTGATCGAAGACTAGAGTTCTAGTATGACACCATGCACTCAACATGAGTTTATTTTTCGCAATTTCCTGCCTTCAGATGGACACTTTAGCTCATAAATTAGCTTTCCAAGTTTTGTTGTAGTCCTAAAGTATTTAAATTCGAGTTCTTTTTTATTTGTTTCTACTAAAGCATTTCTCCATTTCTGTCATGTGAATTTTAGAGAAGAGTGGAAGAAATTTGATTGTATTTCTTCAACTTGTGTGTTACAACTCTGTAAATGCATATGTACATACTTGTACTTGGTTTTTTTTTTTTTTTTAATATTTACTATCAATATATCTCTTAGTTAACTTTCACATACTTTAAAATTAATTATTTTCAAGTAATTTTAAAAAGCATGTCTCACATCCACATAGTACATTCAAGGAAATTCTTGAGTGCTGGCTTGTACTTGTATGTTGCATTAATTGAGTAGTAGACTATTGTGCTTGCAGGAGAGATGATGTGTATTAGTGGGGGAATGACGCAGTAGAGAATTGAGTGGAGGACTTGTTCATGGAGCAGGGAATTGCATGTTGCTTTCCGCCCATTTTTGAACATATATTCAGATATAATAAAATGTCATTTAAATTTAAGGAGCAATTCAGCTTTCTTTACATTGTAGCTTTCAATTCCAGATTAAGTTTATGCAATCTTCCTTACATTTTATGACTCCAATTTATTTCTTTGGATTAACAAACTTTCCAGTTTGCCTTAGTAGTAATACAGAAAGTCCTTAAATTCTCTCAAAGGCATTTGCTACTTTTGCAAAAGTCATCTTATCAAAAAGCTTCCATCAAAAACGTGTCTCCATCAAACTACTTTGAGTTTTGTCTACTTGAAAGAAGTAGCTTTCAGTGCAATACTTCTTTCTTGCTTTTGAGTTTTGACAAAGCAAGGGCAATGAATATGCAACCCCACCTGCAGGCTAATTATGAGGAAATTGTGTGAGAAAGATGTTGGAAAAGACATTAGAGAGGTTTATACTTTTCAGAGCTAACAAGTGGT